TGCATCTTTGTCTGTAGGGTGTTCATTGGGTCTGCAAAATGCTTAGCCTTTTAAAAAGAAGGCTTATTTTGTTGTTTCACAATCTTTGAAGCAGCCTGCTATATTCTTGACATTATGTGATGTTTTTCTTGGTATGGATTAGGGCTTTTCTATTCTGTCTGAGTAGGTTATTGACAGTTCTTTATCTTTATGGTGTTATGGATTAGTTGTAGACTTAAAGTGTTCCGTCTATGGGGGAAGGCACCTCGCTATACCAGGAATCCTTTCTGGTCCTTTCTGCTCTCCTTTCCTAAAGTCCTTCCACTTCTCTCTGGATTGTAGTGCAGCTCTGTGGGAGTCTCACGTGAGTCCTGCCTGCCTCTTCTAAAGTTTGTAATTGTCCTTAGGGGACCACAGTGTAGCCTAAGACCAACATCACCCTGACTGCTTCCCTCTATCTGGAGCTGGGGCGATGGGAGCAGGATCATCACAAACTCTCCTGCCTGCACCTGCCTCTTCTAATGTTTATAATTGTCCTTAGTGGTGCTGGTGCAGCCGGAGACCACCTTCTGTCTGTCTTGCTGTCATTGTTATGTGCTGTCAAGTTGCTTGCAACACGTAGCAACCCTAGGTACAGCAGCCCTGTACCCTGCTATATCTCTTGCCAATTACGGTCTCTGACACACACACCAAACCCCATTACCCCAGTCACTAAATTAATCCATCTCATCAAGGGTTTTCCTCTCTTGCACTGTCCCTCCACCCTCCCAAGCATGATGTCCATCTCCAAGAACTGGCTCCTCCTTACAACATGTCCAAAGTAGGTCAGACGGAGCTTCAGAATCCTTGTCTCCAAGGAGCAACCTGGTTTCACTCTTTTCAGGATGAACCTGTTTGTTCTCTTAGCAGTCCATGGTATATTCAATACTCTTCTCCAGCACCACAGCTCAAAGGCATCAATTCTCCTTCTATCATCCCTAGTCATTGTCCAGCTTTCTGACGCATAGCAAGTAATTGCAAGGGCTATAGCCTGAATCAGGCACACCTTAGTCTCCAGACTGATATAATTGCTATTCAATACTTTGGAGACGTCTCTGATAGCAGACTTTCCCAATGCAATTCATCTTTTAATTTTACCACTGGGCCAATTGGCAGCATCAGGATGGATGATGTAAAGACTGAGATTGTTTACAGCTTTAATTTCCTTGGCTCCACACTTGGTCAACACTCTTGGCACCAGCATCCAGGAAATTAAAAAATGTATTGCAATAGAAAAGTGTGCTATTAGGGACCTCTCCAAAGTACTGGAGAGTAATGGTGTCACTCTGGAGACTGAGGTATGCCTGATACAAGCCATGGTCTTTGCAATCACTTGCGATGCATCAGAGAGTTGGACAATGTCTGGGGAGGATAGAAGAAGAATTGATGCCTTTGAGCTCTGATGCTGGAGAAGAGTATTGAATATACCATGGCTTGCAAGAAAACAAACAGATTCCTCCTAGAGAGGGTTAAACCAGGCTGCTCCTTGGAGGCAAGGATTCTGAAGCTTTGTCTGACATACTTTGGACATGTTGCAAGGAGGGACCAGTCCTTGGAGAGGGACATAATGCTTGGGAGGGTGGAGGGACAGTGTAGGAGAGGAAGACCTTTGATGAGATGAATTGATTCAGTGACTGGGGTAATGAGGGTAGGTGTGTCAGAGACAATAAGATTGGCACAGGACAGAGCAGAGTTTAGGGCTATTGTATGTAGGGTCACTATGAGTTGCAGGTGACTCAAAGGCACATAACAACAACAACAACTGGCTTAGAATTTTTTAAATTATTATCTTTTAAGATTCTTTTAGAAATTTGTACAAATCCTTCAGAGTGTAAACAAATAGTGTCATCAGTTTTATATATTAAAGATAATTGTGCTTTGAAATAGAAATACATTAATACTTACACATCTGTGTCTACCAAGTGTGTATAGTGATTAAGGTACAAGCTACAACAAGTATTACATTATAAGCACAGCATCACTAGTTCTCAAAAACATCTCTTCTCCAAACATCACTTAACTGTGCTGTCTTGGCAAGCCACTTAAACTCTATGCCATTTCAATTTCTTGTCTGAACTTCTCATTGGCTAATGCCCATAGTAGTTATATTCACAATCATGACTGCTGCCCTCTGGCGAGTGAATGCCTCTGATACGTCTGTGCTATGTTCTATGCATTCCATGCATTATCTTTGCATTATTATGAGCATTCTGTTTCTAAGAAAACTCTAAGGAAGTTGACTTTTAAAGTACTTCTGAAAGGTTGATTTTTATTTCATAAAGCAATCATATATTTACAAAAAAATTGTGCAGAAAGTACAGAGAGTCTTTGTCAATCCTCTTGTATCCCTCTTCCCAGACTGTTTCTCCTGAGGAATACCTTGCATTCCTGTGATTCATTTGTTAAAATTAAGAAGCCAATATTGATGCACTATTATGAGTATTCACAGTTTAGGGATCACTCTGTGTTGCACATTTCTACTGCTGTATTTAGGTGCCATCACCTCAGCTCTAGTTCACAACAACCCTCTGTACAACAGTACACAACCCTGCCTGATCCTGTGCCATCCTCATAACCTTCACTATGCTCAAGCCCAGTTGTTGCTGTCACTGTGTCAATCCATCTCATTAGAGTCTTCCTGTCCTAAAAAAAAAGAGTCTTCCTCTCCTTTGCTGACACTTTACTTTTATGATATCCTTCTCCAGAAACCAGTCCCTCCTAACAACATGCCAATGTTTATGAGACAAAGTTTCACCATCCTTCCTTCTATGGAGCATTCTGGCTGAACTGTAGGTTTTGATAAATGCACAGTGACAGGTAATCCACCACTGCAGATCTTACAGAAAAATTCCACTGCCCTAAAAATACCCCGGGCTCCACCTGTTCATTGCCTTTCCCACCCCAAGTCTGGCTCCTGACTGCCTGTCTGTAGTTTAATCTTTTACAGAACGCCAGATTGTTAGAATCATACAATATATTTCCTTTTCAGACTGGCTTCTTTCACTTAGTGCAATGCATTTAAAGTGCTTCCCACTCTTCTGGTAGTTTTGTAGCTTATTTCTTCTTACTGTTGACTAGTGCTCCTTCAGAGTGTAAAAGAATAGTTTCATCATTTTTATATTTTAAAAATAATTGTGCTTTGAAATATAAATACACTAATACTTACACATCTGTTTGTTTACCCACTCATCTATGGAAGGATCTCAGAATTGTCTCAGATTTGGAGCAATTATATGTGTTTTCTTTTAATCCTTATAATAACCTTTATAGATAAGGCAATGGAGGTGTATGGTTGCTGTTTTAAGTGGTGTCAGCGTGATTATGATTCATAGTGACCCTCAATGGATCTGAATCCTGTGCCTTCCTCATCATCTCTGACACACTCAAGCCCACTGTTATAGTGGCTGTGTCAATCCATCTCATTGAGGGTCTTCTCCTTTGCTGACTCTCCACCTTCCCAAGCATACTATCTTTTTCCAAGGACTGGGCCCTCCTAATAACATGCCCAAAATCTGTGAGATGAAGTTTCACCATCCTTGCCTCCAAAGAGGACCTGACGGCACTTTCTCCAAGGTGTATTTGTTTGTCTTTTGGCAGTCTGTGGGATATTCAGCACTCCTGTCCATCACCACAATTAAAGGCATTGACTCTTCTCCTTTCAGCCTTATTCATTGTCAGGCTCTCAGGTGTATAGCATCTGAAGTGCACAGTGGAATGGTTATAACTTCTTCAAGGTCACAAAAACAGGAAGGGACAAAGCTGTGCAACAGAAGTACTTCAAGAGCTAGAGACATATCCTCATTGATTAACACAGGCCAGGTGGTTCAGAGAGGAGGAAAGGGTCAATGAGTGAATATGTATGTGAAAAGAGATTTGGTTGAGCTGTAGACAAAACAGGGCTCCCACATCTCTTTCACCAAAGCAACTCGAGGGAGCTACCTTGAGGAGATAAGGAAACCCTTCAAAACTGTGTACATTTTGCACAGGTGGGAGCTCACCATCTATTTGACCTTCCAAAAAACTTAAGAACAATTAAATGTACCATAAGAGGACTCAAGGGGCGGTGGGGGAGGAATGGAAACAGAACCTATATTAAGGCATAAAAGAAAATGAATGTTTCAGAATATTGTTTTAATAACTAAGCACTGGGAACATGCTGTATAGTGGGAAATAAGTACTCTAGCAGATTCGTGGGGTGGGGAGTTAAGTTACAAGTGTCAGGGACTGCAAAGAAGGGCTTGGCTCTGAGTACTATAACGAATGAAATTATATTGCAGTCTCCATGATGCAAGGCCACAGTGATTTGCACCAGGGACAAGGCAACAAGCTGGGATTGGAGGGGAGGGCATATGTATAGTGAGCAGGGTGGGGTTGGGAAGTTGTGCAGGCTTCGTTATTCTGAATAATTCTCAAGACAGAGGGATATAGGAACTGTCCCTTGGTATTGGGTGGCTGGCCCTGGGTCAGTTAGGACTGGTGCCTTGTGGTCCTGGAGTGGGAGAGTCTGATAAAGGGAATAGTTGGAGAGTAGATTTAAATCAACCACTCAGGAAAGAGAATAGTCTTGCTTCAAAATTGTATCAAAACAACTTTTTAAGAAAATAGTATATATAGACAGATAGATAGCTAGATAGATTAGATAGATAGAGACAGAGACAGAGATAGAGATAGATCTATTTGGCAGATGATATGTCTACATTTATCTTTGGAGATGTTGTAAATTATCTATGTAAATAGTGGAGTCAACAAGGTGGGGGGTGGAGAGAAGACGAAAATACGATGATATTGCAGTGAGCTACATTTAAAGGCTGGCCTGAGTCCTCAAAGCAGAGCACCATTGTGGCTCCTGGGCCCCAAGTCCAAGCTGTCTTCATCAGGGTTGCTACTTGTCCTTCCCCAAGGGTGCAGGACCTTCCACATGGGGCTCCTGGGCTGTTCCTCTTCTGACCTCATTAATTCTCCTTTGCTTGCTCTCTTTCCAGAAGTGGAACAGATCGAGGCCATCGCCAAGTTTGACTACGTGGGGCGGTCTCCCCGGGAGTTGTCCTTCAAGAAGGGGGCCTCTCTGCTACTGTACCACCGTGCGTCAGAGGACTGGTGGGAGGGTCGACACAACGGCGTGGATGGACTCATCCCACATCAGTACATAGTTGTACAGGACATGTGAGTGGGAGTCAGGGCTCCGTTTAAAAATGTGGTGATAGATTAGTAGAGTCTGAAAGGGGCACAGGCAGGGAAGTGTTGGCTTGTGGGCCACTTATGTGAACATCCTATTAAAATATGCTTGGTGTCCTGTAAAGATGGGTTCTATCTAACTTCCCCTTTAATAGTGATCTACTTTACAAATATGCAAATGACTCATTCTTTAGCATAAACAGTGACAGCATTAATTGCCCCTGGCCACCATCCTGACCCATCTGACAGGTGACAGGGCATTTGTCATTCACTGTGTCCAGTGGCTCTTGCCATGCACCTCCCCCTTCATGGACCTCCATGTAGCCAGTGGCTAACTCACTGCTTCCCTAACAGTCTGTCATGCTCCATTTTTTGAGGTAACTTCTCAGAGGCTGCATCATTTTTAGTTAAAAAAATCATTTCTTTTTACTATAATTTCCAGAGTTTAAAGAGACTTTGTATCCCAAAATGCCTAGTCCTACTCAAAGGCCCAGAAAGCCTGCATTCCTCTGAACTCACTGAAGTCCTTGTGCATTCTGACCATCTCAGCTGAAATTATTTCTCAGGAGAGCAGATGCCAAGCTAGACCTCAAGGGCAGGGAAACAGAAACAAAACTTTTGATGGGACAGGGGGAAATCTGAAGCCTGGACCAAAAAGGGGACAGTCCATGGCAGCCCTCTGAAGTCACCAAGGGAAGGAGGCTGGTAGGACACTCAGAATAGCCTGAGTCACCTCACAATTCTCCAGATGCCTGGATTGGTGAAGGGCAAAGGCAAGGGAGGCACCTTCTTCCTCCTCTGCTTGTCTCTGAGATCCAGAAACTCAGCATTGAGCAATCTGCCTTCAGTTTAGAGACTTCGTCGCCTTCATTCCTCTAACTTCTCCTCTAGCATTTAGCCTCACCCTGGCACAGAGAAACCTGGGAGAGAAAAGACGACAGGAGGGGGTAAAGCAGGCAACCTGGGAGAGAATGGAAGAAGGAAAGGACCAGGCAGTTGTGGCAAAGGGAAAGACAGGCACGAGTCTCTGCTAGGAAAACTAGCTTGAGGAATATTGCTGCTATAAGAATAATACCTGTCACAGAGCTAGGAGGTCGGAAAGTGAGCCATCTTGAGCTGTGACAAAGCTGAGCCATGAAGATGTATGCTAATTCAGCCCCTTGAGGATCTCTCAAGGGTCTCTGGAGGGAAGCACCCCCAATTCACATGTATCCTTCTTCCCAGGGACGATGCCTTCTCAGACAGCCTGAGCCAAAAGGCTGACAGCGAAGCCAGCAGTGGGCCACTACTGGACGACAAGGCTTCCTCCAAAAACGACCTCCAGTCCCCCACAGAACACATCACGGACTACAGCTTTGGGGGGGTAATGGGCCGGTAGGAAATGTGGCTTCATTTTCCCTGCTAAGTTCCAAGCCAGTTCATGTCTGATTTAAGACGGGGCAAGAAAAGATGGAAGGGGTGGCTGTAGCCGCATGCTCCCCATAAGATGTAATCTTGGAGGCACAACTGGGTGGCCTGGCAGGATATGGCTCGAGAGGACTGGGTATAAAACTGTCTGGGGTTGTGGGTTGGATAAGAGAGAAAGACATGTTAGCAACTCAGTGTTTTTATTGAAAATAATAGTAATGAGTGAGTTACAATTGACCAATGTTCTTGTTCTGCCTTTAGTTCCTTTGCCTCCTCCTCACTTCCTGCGTAGATTTCAGTTGTTTCTTAAAACATTTTCAACTGGTTTGCTTCCTGAAATATACCATTGCCACAAAGCACACCCACTCAGTGGTAGGGGAAACTGACCCTACTCACCATCCATTTGTATGGTGGGAGCAGATTTTCCAGTGTTTCATCTGGCTGGGTGTGGCCTTTGTTATATGGAATTTTTAACATGCCATTCAGTGAAGAGGTATAGTCCAAAGTATGTGGCTTAAAAGAAAAAGAAAGAAAAAAAAAGAAGGGAAAAGAAAAAGCCGGCAGTTCCCCACTGCTTCTAGGTCACATTCTCAGAATGTCCTTTTTCTGTGTGGTTTTCCAATGAGAGGTCATGTGATAGGTTCCTGCAGACAAAGTCAAGGAAGTGAGTCACATGGGAGCCACACTCTATGAATTTGCCTCAGCCGGAGTCCTGTTGTCTCTTTCCAGCATGATCTAATCAGTTCCACCAGTAGCTCAGGGCACCGAGACAGATGGTGATTGTTATGCCGTGAAGTCAGCTACAACTCACAGAGACAGATGGTAGGATTTGAAAAAGGTGGAAGGTGGGGGCGGGTAGCAGAACAAGTCATAGCCCCTAGACTTCTAGGAGGCCAAATATTCTTTCTCTCTTTTCCCTCCCTCACCTACCTTCTTTTCTATTTCACCATCTCTCCCTGTCTCACCCCTGTGCTTTAGTCCTGCTGGGACACTCACAGGCATTGCTTAGCTCGGCTGCTGGCCATACTGACCTCCATCCCTCATTATAATTCACTCCCAGCACCCGGTCCCTCCTGCCCAACTTCTCTCCCCTCCCCAGGATGTAGCAGGGTTTCCTGTGCCTAGTAGAACATTTTGTCTTCTAGGTATTTCCATACCTACCAAAACTCCCCGTAAGGTGTGCCAGAAATAATATGCTCATGCACCAGAAGAAGAACACAGGGCAGTGTGTTACAGAAGCATGCGGAAGGCCCACCATCCTGGCACACCTTTTGTGTCATTTTCACTCCATGAAGCTTCCACAAGAGACGAAAGATATCCAAGTACACAAAGAGGTGTCTTGTGATGTAGTGTCTCCTCAAGGGTCCTGCTGCTGCCCAGGTTCTGAATAAGCTCCTGAAAGTAGTCCTTTCTCCAGGGGAGGCAGCAGTAAATGCTAGTTGACTCCCAGGCAGTGCTGGTAACATTGGAGTACAGACAAGCCTCCTTCCTTCAAACCCAGTGGAAGCCTACTGGAATCCTTGAAATGCCCAGATGGCTTACTTACAGATCGCCTCTTGAGCTGAATTAACCATCCACCAAGTGTCCTCAGGATAAAATGTTGTTGTTGAGTAACATCGAGTCGGATTCGACCCACAGCTGACCGACCCTCCCGCGGGTTTTCAGAGGCAGTTAATCACACAAGAGGAGATTGCCCATCCTTCTCCCACGGAGCAGCTGGTGGATTCGAACCCATACCCTCGAGATTGCAGTGCAGCTTCTTACCACTAGGCCACCAAAGCTCAGGATAACATGTTCTTGGTTTTGTTTTATGGAAAGATTGCTTTTGCAATTAGCAGTCTACAGTGTGCAAGCCCAGTGCAGAGTAACCTCTCCCCTGGGGTGTGGACTCAGACACAACTTAGGGAATCCAAGAAGCTTTACAGTCCCCACTCCCTAGTGTGACGGCTTGGCTCACGTGGGGCAGGGGCAGCAAGTTTAGAGTGGCCGCGGGGCGTGCATGGGGCCGGGGCGCACGCGTGGGGCCGGGGGCGCGCGTGGCGTGGGCTTGACTGGCCCTTTTGGAGACCTGTCAGGGTGACCTCTGCCTCTGCCTCCTGCCCACTGCTTTGCAGAGTGCGGCTGCGATCCGATGGAGCTGCCATCCCCAGGCGCCGAAGCGGGGGCGACACGCACAGCCCACCTCGAGGCCTGGGTCCCAGCATAGACACACCACCCCGGGCTGCCGCCTGCCCCAGCAGTCCCCACAAAGTTCCCCTGGCCCGAGGAAGGATTGAGAGCCCCGAGAAGCGGCGGATGGCCACGTTTGGGAGCGCCGGCAGCATCAACTACCCCGACCAGAAGGCGCTGTCTGAGGGACACTCGATGAGGTCCACGTGTGGCTCCACCAGGCACAGCAGCCTGGGGGACCACAAGTCCCTGGAGGCGGAGGCCCTGGCAGAAGTAAGGGCCAGGGAGATCCCAAGGGGTTGGGATGCCTGGTGAGAAGCTGCCAGGCCAGAGCCCAAGCTGGTGAGCTGCCCGCCCTTCCCTTCCCAGGGAGTAGTTCTGCCGGCAGCCTAGTGTTTCCCTACAGAGTTGCAGCCTGGGAGGTGTACCTGGGATCCATGATGGCAGGGCTTTCCACAATGGTCACCTCAAATCAAAGGCCTTCCCCACGTGGGGTTTGTAACAAAGAGAGAACAGTGAGTAACACAGAGAAGTGAAAGGGCAAATGCAGGAGGTGGAAGGAGGAACACTCCTGTTTTATGAATCTCAGGTGTGGGCATTGCATCCTGGCAAGGAGAACTGCCTCTGAGGAGGATGAGATTAAATAGCTGAAGCAGGAAGAGAAGAATGGTCAGACTTTTCCAAAGTATTTGGAACCTTTGTTGTATTCTTCTTTGATGGTTTTTATAATTGCCAAGCAAACAGAATCATGACTTTCTCAGCAATTTGCAAAACTATTCCCATGTAATCACCAAATGTCCATTGTGCCCAAAAATTTGAAAAAAGGGGTAACTTCTACCCCCTCTGAAATTTGGAGGTGCCCGCTGCCATCAAGTCAATTCCAGCTCATGGTAACCCTCCTTTAGGTTTCCAGAATTCAGACTGCCGGCCTTTCAGTTGGCAGCCCATACGTTATGCCTTACATACACCACCTAGCTCCCGGTCATGCACCCCTGCCACGTGCTTGCAGAGTGGTCTTTCTGGGCTGAGAAGTGTGTTGTAGAGAGTGACAGTTGGGTGTTTAAGAAGAGGGAAATGTGAGGTGGGCTGTGTTCGCAAGGAGGTCAGGAATGGCCCCAAGGAAATACTATCTTATGGAAACAGGCATACACACCAGGAAAACAGCCCCTCCTGACATCCTTGAGGACTGCTGTGGCCAATCTCCTCCTGCTTACTCCCCGAGGGAATGATTCTTAAAGCTGGGACTTCAGAGGCACCTTCAGAGGGTGTTTTTTTTTCTAGAAGGCCTTCTCAGAAAACTCCACTCCAGCATCCACCATAGCTTAAATGCTCTAGTTAGAGTCAATGGAAGCAGTGAGAGGTACTGCCTGGCCCGAAACTGTCCAAGACAGACTCCCCAGTCTTGGGTTGTATTTCCAAAAGAAAGCCCTCCAGCAGTTTAGTACCAGAGGATGTTAAGGAGTCAGGGCGAGGGGTATTTTATGGTCCACAGGGTTCAGCAAGTGCTGCTTTAACAAAGTTATGTGCCTCACCTATGAGATTTCTTAGATTGCTTGACATGTAGGCATGCACTGTGATCTCCAAGACAGGAAACAGGGGGAGGATACCCTATCTCTCAAACCTCCTCGCCCCTTTATTCACCGTACATTTTGTAGAACCAGCCCAAAGACTCTACTTCTGAGAGGACGGCAGGTGTTTTTCAGTGTGATAACCACACTCAGAGCTCCTTTCACAGAAAGAGAGTTGGCGAGCATGATAAACAGTGTTCAGATAGCCAAGAGTATGCCAGACAGCGTCCAGCCTGCTGGCCCTCCACTAGGATGAACTCTTGTCTGTGCAGCTACAAAGGAAGCTGGCACACACAGAGTTCCACAGAGTAGAAAGTTTCCCCCACTTCTCTGTCCCCAGATGTCCTAGAGGGTTTAGATTAGAAGTTAAAGGGGTTGTTTGGGGGTCTTACTTTGTTATTGACAGAGGGAGGGAAATGTATGTGCGGCTATCATTTGGCGGGAGGCAGAGTGGTCACCGTGTTCCCCACCCCATCCCAACCCCTGCTCCACCACGTCTCACTGCTGGACTAACGCAAGCACCACTAAATGACTCAGCTGATCTCTATTTGAGCTTTCTTTTCTTCTGGGCTCACATTCTGCCAGGGTAGAGTGCTGCTGGTAGTGGAGGAGGTGATAATTACATTATTTTTGTTTTGCCTTTCCTCTCACAGTCATTCACTTAGTGCCATTGAGTCAGAACTGACTCACAGCTGACCCTCTCGTGCATTTTCAGAGGCTGTAAATTGTGCAGGAGGAGATTGCTTACTTTTCTTCCAAGGAACAGCCAGTGGATTTGAACTGCTTGCCTTGAGATTGGCAGTGTAGCTCCTTACCACCAGGCCACCATAGCTCCTCTTCACAGACAGTTGCTGTTGTTATGTGCCCTCAAGGTGGAACTGACCATAAATGACCCATCAGTTTTCAGAGGCTGTTAATCTTACCAAGGAGATTGTCCATCCATGTCCTGCAGAGCAGCTCTGGATTCAAACTGAGTGCCTTTGGGATTGCAGCACAACTCCTTACCATTAGGCCAACAGAGCTCCCTCACAGACAGTAGTGGTGTTAATATCCAAGGAACACACAAGCTGCTGTTGAGTCCACTCATCAACTCCACATGTGCTCCTTGGAAGTAGATGGACAAGTCTATCTTCCAAAGTGTTTCTGGGTAGATTTGAACCACCATACTTTCAGTTCATAGTCTAGTGCTTTACAATTTATGCCACACAGAGACTCCTAATGGTGTTGTTGTGTGCCCTAAGAGAGGCTTTTGATGCTCGTGCCAATCAGGCTTCATCATTGCTGGATGGATTTGAGCAGCATCCCTGCGAGCTGTGGGGAAAGAAAATTCTCTCTCCCTTCATCCACAAATCATCCCACATTAACTCTTTGATGCACAAAGGCCACTTTTTTAAAACAAAAAAAACCTGGCTCAATCAATGAGTCATTAAGGGCTTTTCTCCCTTCCCCACTGCCAACCACCAAGCCACCCCCCTTTTTCCAAAGGCCACTTCTTAACATTGCTGTCATTTGGAAGCAAGGGGTGAAGGCTAGGCAAACTCCAGTATTGGCTATTGTTAGTTCTATAATAGGGAACTCTGGTGGCCAAGTGGTAAAGAGCTGCACTGCTCACCCAAAGGCATGTAGTTCAAATCCACCAGCTGCTCTGCAGGAAGATGGGGCAATCTCCTGCCATGCAATTTACAGGCTCTGAAAACCCACTGGAGGGTCAGCTATGAGTTAGTTCCGACTCAGTGGTATATAACAACAGTTGCATAACAAATCCAAAAGGATAGACTGGGACAATGAGGTGAGAAAGAGCCTGAATCTCTAAACACCACCAGGATGGCCTGGTGAAGCAGAAGGCCTGGGGGACGCATCCTGGGGTTCCTGGGGAAGCAGAAGGCCACTCAGGGATGAGGAAGGAGAGCACATCAAAGAGGATTTCATGCAGAAAGGAGGCTGTCAGAGCGCCCCAAAATCCTTCCTTGCACATGTTTGCCAGGATTTACCCCAGGGGAGAAGCAGCATGTCTTGAGACTAACCAGTCTTGTGGCAGTACTTCCAGCAGCATTAAGCAATGACCCTCAGGGGTCCGTCCCATGGCTGGGATCTGGCCCAGCTTCAGAGCACCTGAGACTTGCTCAAAGTCACAGAGCCAGCAAAGGGAGAAAGGTTTTTTCATTCCAAATTCCAGGTCCCTTTTTCCTTCCAGATCCACTAGGTTAACATGCTTGTCGGCTCATCAGAAGATCAGAGGTTCAGATCCACCCAGAAATGCCTCAGAAGTAAAGCATGGAGTTTTTCTTATTGGGGAAAAAAAATAATAACCAGCCATTGGAAGCTCTGTGGAGTATAGGCACATGGGGGTCACCTTGAGTCTGAATTAACACCATGGCAGGTGGCTTTATATGTATATGATAAAATAAATTCATTCTAACAAAGGAGTCTGAGGCTCAGAGAAGTGAAGTAACTTAGAAGGAAGTAAAGTGAAGCAAACCTAAGAGGAAAGTAGCAGAGGTGAGATTTGAACCCTCATTTGTCTCCTTCCAGAGCCCACCCTCTTAAGCAGTGGTCCAAGCTACCCTTTGTGGTTTGCTTCCTGTGCAGACCACTGGGCCAGGTATACCCACAATGCTTCCTGGTTTTGTCCTGTGAGTCTAATCTGTGTGTGTGTGTGTGTGTGTGTGTGTATTTATGCATCTACACACGTATATACTAGATCTGGACACACACAACAAATGTATATAGCTTCTCCTTTTTCTTTCCATGAAACTTTTTATGAAATCTCAGACCCTTGCGCCCCAACATCTTCCACTGAGTGATTTGGTGGAATCTGCAGGGACTTTTCTGACCAGAGCTCGCTCTCTGTCCTCAGGACATCGAGAAGACCATGAGCACCGCTCTGCACGAGTTGCGGGAACTTGAGAGGCAGAACACAGCCAAGCAGGCACCAGATGTGGTGCTGGACACCCTGGAGCCACTAAAGAACCCGCCAGGCCCCATCAACTCGGAGCCGGCCAGCCCCCTGCACACCATAGTCATCCGTGACCCCGACGCCGCCATGCGCCGCAGCAGCAGCTCCTCCACGGAAATGATGACCACTTTCAAGCCTGCCCTGTCCGCCCGCCTAGCTGGTGCCCAGCTGCGCCCGCCCCCCATGCGGCCCGTGCGGCCTGTGGTCCAGCACCGGTCCAGCAGCAGCAGCAGCTCGGGCATGGGCAGCCCCGCTGTGACACCCACGGAGAAGATGTTCCCCAACAGCTCGGCGGACAAGTCGGGCACCATGTGACCTGTGAGGGGGGCGTGCCATGGCCTATGTTGGCCTCCGATGGCCTCTCCTTCTGCCCCGGTGGTCCCAGAATGCTATCCTGGGAAGCTGGGGCTGGGAGGCCGAGGCCGAATGCATTTGCTGCCGCTCACTTTCAGCCATATGAGTCCGACAGACCTGGTGTGTGTGAACAGACACCCCAGGAGTGCAGGGGCAACAGCAGCCAACCAGAACATTTTCTGAGATCGTGGCAAAATGCTAAATGGCTTCTTCCACATATCACCACTGGAAAATAATTCTATCTTCATACATATATGTGCACATATATATGTATGTGTGTGTCTGTAGAGGGGTGTGTGTGTGTGTATTTATGCATCTATATACATATACTAGATCTGGACACACACACCAAATGTATATAGCATCTCCTTTTTCTTTTTATGAAACTTAGATTTACCTCAGACCCTTGCCACCGAACATCTCCCACCGAGTGATTTGGTGGGATCTGCAGGGACTTTTCTGGGAGAATTTAAAGGCCCACAGTAACTTGAATGAAGCAATACACCACTAACCTGCTGAAACACAACAAAAACACTCTCCCACAGTTTTCCAGAAGTTGTGGCCTTCCAGAACAGTCTGCTCACAAAGAAAGATAGGGCAGGCACTACGCTGAGCAGGCTGTGCCCAGAGGTGTAGGGGACCTCTCACAGAAAACCCCCTTCTGCCCCAGAGACTCTGCCCTTTCACCCTGAGGCCAAAGGCCAACAGCACCCTAAAAGCATGGGAGGAAGTTGGGGAGATGAATCCCAGACCACCTTGTGTTTGTATGTAGAAAAGTGGGGCAATGAGAACCTAAGCCCCATCGTAGCACAGTGTTGTGTGTGGCTGGGGAAAAAGAAAAAAAATCTATATGCAGTGGTGTGGAAAACTTCAAAACTTAGAAATGCAGTAGGAATAAATCTGTAGTAATGATAGAGGTTTAACTTATACTGTTTCCAAAGTATTTAATCCCCCCCCCTTTTCTTCTTTCTACTAATTATATTGTATCAGATTTGAAAGTAGCAGGCAACGAGGCTTTGGGTCCATCATCTCATTTCCTGCCAGGCCAGGATGACTTTGGCTGGGGGCCCAGCTCGGACCAGGGTCCAGAAAGCGTGACCCTTCACACTTTCTGCACTAGGGACCACCACAACCTGCACTCCAGCCCTCACTCCCGCACTCCCTGCCCACAGTGGTTGAGTTTACACAAGGGAAATACCTCCCCTCTTCATTCCTCCAGAGTGTTTACTAGATGAATATGGTGATGGGGTGAGGGAGCTGATGGGGGGGGGTGGGGGGGAATGTCATCTGGTTCCACTCCACTTCCTCTTTGGCTCTCAAAGCTTTTCTAGAGAAGGGCTATTTCAAGATAACAGAGCACAGACCTAGTGAGACCCCTTGGCTTACCCTCCTGACCATGCCACGGGGATCCTCCCCACAGCTCAAGCTCCATGTTTTTTTTTCATCTCTCTAGGCCTCTGAGTACATCTCCATGACTGTGGTTTGGAGTCAAAATCATGTATTAGAGTCAGAAGCCCTGTTGTTGTGGCGTTCCACCTCACTGAGCTTCAGTTTCCTGCTCCATAAATAAGGGCAATGTATGTTAATAAGCTGGGTGAGTTGGAAAGCCTTATACAAACACCATTGCTCTCCTCATTGTCATTAGCTGGAGAGCTCGGGTGGCCTAGTGGCAAGAAGCTGCACTGCAACCTGGAGGGCTCGCCTTTTGAGGTTACCAGCTGTTCTGCGGCAGAAGCATGGGCAATCTCCTCTCATGCAATTAACTGCCTCTGAAAACCCACCAGAAGGTCAGTTATGGGTCGGTTCTGACTCAATAGTACACAGCAACAAAAGGTTAATCTTTTAGCTTTAAAAACAAAACAAAACTTTACTTTTTGAGACTAACTAATGCCATCTGAGAAGCAGGCAGTGGAATTTTCCTACCTGCTTGGAAAGAACCCTGAAGCAGGACAATAAAGCTAGGATTGAGTGACTCCAGCCTTGCTTGGCAGCCCGCCATTAGCATTGCCACCCATTAGATTCAGGTTTGTCCTTTCCCCTGGTCCTCTTTTAAAAGGTCACTACCTCCTGCCCAGTGAAATCTGTAACACACAAATCTGGTGTTCAGGAGACATCAATTATTCTGCAGTGTCTGGAAGAGCCAGCACATAGACAGCACAGGAGGAAAGAGTGGAGAAAAAAAGAATGGCAGGAAGCAAAGTTATCAGTGTCAAATTTGACCTTCCACATTTTTTCCTGAACTCAGCCTTGCTCTTAGCTCCTGAGGAGGAGAGACATTCAGAGTCACCTAGGAGCCTGTTGAGCTTAAAGGCATCTTTAATTTCCACTTTAAAGAAGTGAAGCTTTGAGTTGTGCGATGGATGACTTGTCCAAGATCTCATAGATACCTGAGGATGGGCTGTGATGGGCTGGGAAAATAATTTTCTCTGTAAGCATGCTACACCATCCACCTAGAACCTAAGGTCTCTCATACTACTGCCAGACCTTAAAAGCAGTCCTGTTCCATGACATTTAATGTCTCTGCTCTCACCACCAGATGGTAAGTAAAAATGTGAGTTACCTAATCTGTTACCTGATAGAAATACTATCAGTCTCTGAATGGACTTTGTTTTCCTTTACTGCACGTGGACCTGCCTTCCACCAACTCAAACGGAGGCAGATTCTTCACTATTTTCCGTAAAGCACTCACTTTTCCACTGGGAAACGGCTGATTGTTCACATTCAGAAACACTTCCACATTAAGAAATGGTGGGCATGTCCCCTTCATACAGCCCCAAATCTGAGGCCTCAAGCAGAACCAAAGGGAACACTCCTGCCCTGCCTCCCCATTCCTACCCTTCCCCAACACTATGCATGTCCTTTGTGTCACCTCAACCTGTGCCCACCCCACAGGTGTCCCCAGGGCCTTGCCATCTCCTCCTGACTCCTGCCTACATTGGTCCAGTATGTATTGCTGTATTTGCTTAAGTGCTGGAAAGTAACTGTTGAAATGTGAAACTGTCATTTTTTTTTTAGAGGCTACAATTAAATTATAGCCAATGCCATTCACCAAATCTTTGCACCTAGTAAATAGATTAATGTAAAAACCAATACCAGAAACCTAACTGTACAGTGAGGGGGTGGGGGAGGATGTATAAACTAGTGAGTAGTCCTCAATATAACCAACTGTCCAAGGGGAAGTGTGTTTACCTACTTGTCCCTTGCCATTACAGAAAAGCTGTGCTGATGGAGACCTTGCTTTGCAAGGTGATTTCTTTCCTTAACCTTCGACTTCCTCTGTGGTCACCCCTCTTGTCTCTGTGCGTAACTGCGGTTCAGTCTATTTTAGGAATGAACCAGCAAGATGTTCCTTTAAAACTGACCAAAGACAATGAATTCCTGGTCCAGTTTCATGGGCCCTGTGGCCCAGTTGTCACTGAAGACCAGCAGTGGCCAGCCTTTCTGGCCTAAAATTGAGAACAAGCGTGCTTCCTACCCCACTCTCCCTTCCCTCTTTCTTCCCCTTTCCTCTTCAAGAGCTGCTCTGACCTGTGGGTGTCTAGGAAAAATTCTTGCCTTTCCTTGTTTTCAGTGCTAATGATTTCTCACCTTGAAGCGCCTTTGGAACCCTGAACAGAGCACACAAATCGGAGGAAACTGTGAGCTTGGATATAAGACTGGGGGTCTTTTCTCTGAAGTAACCAGGAAACAAGTCAGAAGGCAAATGGATTCCCGAAGGGTGAAATGTTCCCTCTCATTCACTGAAGAAGTCAGAGTGGGAAGAGACCCAGAGGCTACCACCTGGAATCAGCAGTTCAGAGATCTGCCTTATAAACATTTCTGAAAGGGTTTGCAGTACACCAGGAGAACCAGTGTGGCGAAGGGCTGTAGGTGGGTTTTCTTCTCTGGCAGAGTGCCTTGTGGGGTGCATTTCTTTCATTCAGGCCTGCTGTGGCCTGGTCTCGTTTTGGCGCGTCGAACATGCACAGCTGACGGAACACTAACCACAAGCACTAACGTAATGGTTTTTTTCCTCTGTTTTTCTACTTCTAACTTTTCACACAGCCAGTTGATTCCACACTAAGGCAAATGCCCCATTCTCCTGAGGAATCCAGAGAGACTGGCTGGCTCTCAGCCGTGGTAGTGGGCTCCACTGGACTTGAGGAGGATGCGGTGGGAAAGGCAGATGTGTGAGCCACGGTGTTGCTTAGCTGATTTTTCTGCTGTGCAGAGTTAATGCTGATGTTTCATGACAACTTCCCCGGTTCTCGGGGTCTCCTCTCTCCTAAGCAGTGGTTCCCCATGGACTCAGTGCTACCAGGGAAGCTGTGAGAAGGTACTCTGCTGTCAGGACTGATCTGCCAGGGTCCTGCTGTCTCATCCTCTGGGACTGGCCAAAAGGCCACTGCCCTCCCCTCACCAACTCCTCCTTTCTGTGTGAACTGCCCCAGGCAAATTGCAAAGCTTCCGTTCTTTGAACCAGAACAACTAGAGTGCACTTTTCCTTCCTTCACTCTGGTGGCCTATTGGGTAAGGATTTGCACTGCCAACTCAGAGGCAGGCGGTTCAAATCCACCGGCTGCTCCTTGGGAGAAAGATGGGCAATCTCCTCCCATGTGATTTACAGCCTCTAAAAACCCGCTGGGGAGTCATCAACAGGTCGGTTCCAACTCAACGGCAATGAGCTGCATTCACTGGTTATAATTCCTGTTCTTGTGCCCAGCAGCGTGGCTGTTTACATGGTTTGGCAATAGGTTTGATTCTGATTGCTTCAGAGTGGCTGGTCTATTTTGTTCTATTTAGTTTCTTTCCTCTTAAAATTATATCAGGAAAAACAAAACTAACCACCCATGATATTACTGGTTGCCTGTCCACGTTATGACAAAGTGTTGCCTTCTAGTAACCATTCCTCTACTTACGACAAAACACCCATCCCATAGCGTGATTGACTAGATCTTCTGTTGCATATTCTGATGGTGCCT